ATGGATAACTTTAATGAATTTCAGACCTATATTGCATAAACCAATTTATTTTCACTGAGTTGAACGCCTTACTACAGCACCCTCCATCCTTCTTTCAAAATAAGGAGAAAATTTTGAATTCTGTTACAAATCATCAATTGGAGGTGTTACTCACTTAGCAGAACAAACTAATTACAGATTATTTGTTAGGTACAAACCGTTTGAATAATGTACACTGCTGAAAGCGTAAAGCCCTAAGGTACTAAATAAATACGATAGAACATATTTGTAATTTATGAGGCTGTTCTCATTGTATAGATATAGTATTGAATAATATAAAAACAGCGCATAACTAATTGAGGATTTTGTTTATTAATAAGATCGAGAAATATCCACGACACAAAGAAGCTATCGCAAACACAGTGAGATCCAGCGGAACTGCCTGCGGNACATTACGCTTTACAATTACAATTTTTTACATTAACATCACATTAGGTTTGGTCCTTGTAGATTCGTCAGTTCATTAACCGAACATGAACTATTATTGATATAATGATCAGCAGATAATTAAATATTACAAAGATAATGACCCGCATTTGTGGTAGCGGACTAATATCATTTATTGCAGTTTTACTGTCTATAAATACAGTGTAAATGCTGAATAATAAGTATTATTACTGATCGTGGAATTATTACTCGCAAACCTGGAATGCTCACCGATATAACGCGATTATTTATTCCCACTTACCTACAGTATAATTCATTATGGATTTACCTCCGGCGTACAATTTTATCTTCTCCGTTTACACTCAATCAAAATAACAACTACTTCATTTTCAATGAACGTTAAAATGTCAGCAACTATTTTGGTCTATTGATTGATTTCGATCCTAAGCAGTAACTGAGCACCAAAGAAAATGGAAGCGAATTCAAGCCAGACTAATTTATTCTCATAATACCTCGAACCCTCTCATGACGTTAGTTGTATTGAACAATTTTCCGTCCAACTTCTAATATTCTTGCACCGTGGCTCCATCTGCAATTTAGATACAAGAAGGAATTTAATACCGTTTATTGTTTGCAAATTATTGTAATGCGTCACTGACTACAGTGCATGTACAATTACCAATGCAATTCAGTGCCCAGTACGGCACATCAACTCGCGCTCGTTGAGTGAGAGACGAGGCAGGTCTCGTCAATACGTCTAGTCTTCGCTCATCAATACGAGACACATTGAGGCGAGGCTCTATCGACTGTCTCATGTCTCAGCGAAGACGACGAAGTTCCGTTAATTTTCCCAGACAATAACGAGACTTCGGGTCGAATGGACGACAGCTGTAGCTTCGACAGCTTGTGAGCTGCACAACGGCTGTAACGGGACAGCTTATATCTGTAAATATCGTAGCCTACAGCTGCAGTATATATCGACTGACCAAAACAATCCGGTTGATCACGACGACAGCTGTTCTACGTTCTTCTCAGCTGGATCACGCTGTGAAGAACCTGTGCAACGGCAGCTTTTATTTTTCATTGTAAAATATATCTAAAGGCCAGTACGTGATAAAGCGAGCACGAAATTCAAGCAAAGTAAGAAGGAAAAATGATGAACGAACTTCCATTTCCTTTCATGTTCCGCAGAACCTAAATGTGCTACCAAAATGTAGGCAGAAAACAAAGCAATAAGCTAAGCGGGAGTAACGATTGAGTTTTTCACACTTTTGCCGCAGCTACGATACTTGGTCGCTACACTGCTTTAGATATATGCCTTCCCCTTCCACTGCTGCTATTTCAAAAGACCATATTCTTTTTAAAATTGGAGCAGTGAGTTGCGTGTTCGAGATCTGCAACAAGCTGTAAATATTTCTGCGATGCTAAGAATTAGCGACAAGTCTAACAGCCTAATGAACGCTGACACCGATCTGCTATACTATACATCTTTTACATCACTCGGTGTTATAAATTCTACATTCGGTACATCACTCTAATGTTGGTTTTTCTTGTGCAATTTGTACAGCTAAAGTTATCTTTGTTTAGATAATACAGCCAAGGCCTCATCACTGCTTTGTAACAATCGTATACCAGATACGAGCTGGAGAACCGCCTGCTGCCATGACATTTCCAGGTGAATCCCTCAGAAAGGACCAGCCAGATACAAGGAACAAATTCTGATTATTGTGATGAAAGTCTACAGCCATAAGAAAGTAATGAGGATAAGCAAGAAAAATTCCAATAAGTATGAAATTAGATACATAATCATGTTATTTTACCTGCTAAAGGTGTAGTTCAGTATCATTCTATTAAAGGATCAAGAATGTTTTCTTTGCAAATAAAAGAGCATGAATTTTGTTAATCAGTACATCAGAACATGAAAAATCTATATAATGAAGTATGTGTATATAAGTTGACCTTGTGACGGACATGCAAACATTTAACCTCGTCCTTGCACGTATGTTATGAAGAGTTCATCCAAATATGAGCGCGTCAGAAAACACGAGATAATATTATTCAGCTCCTGGTTTTGTTGCAACCGATCGCAATTTACACAAAATATTAGATAATTTTAATTGCTACAACACATGAATCACGAAGACTAGACTAGTGTTTCGACTGCAACAGATCCTTAACTGAGGAATCCTACAAATTCTTCTAATTCCTGAACATTATTCACTTTATTATTGAGCTAAAAACGATCAAGGCAAATTTTGTTTAGTCATCAATAAGCGTTTCATGATGTAGGCAGGAATTCTAAGTCAAATTACCTCGTGCATTGAGAACGTATATTGGCACGCGACAATTCTAAACGTACATAATTGCCCGGCCTAGAAGAGGAAGCTTATACGAGGTAAATAAATATTCAGAAAGATTAACTTATAGGTAAACATGTTTTAATGTTATGAGGCTACATGGGGTCTAGCTTTTCATAGTTAAATAGAAGTACTTAACTGACTTAAAGGGCTGACTTAAAGAAAGCAGAGCTGCTGGACACATAATATTTGCTTCTGCTGCTTGGCTTTGTGACGCAGGAAGTTTGAGATTCGGATATTATTCAATAGAAATATTTCCCCTCAAGAATATCGAAAGCTTCAAAAAAGTGTAAAAAAATATCCCAACAAAGTTTGATCTGTCAACTCACCAAAGAATAACATAAAAGAACACAACATAGCCTTTACACATACAAGATATACATTGTTATAGTTAGAAAATTCAAATAGTCCATTTTAGGAACATTTTTATAGCGCCAGCTCTCTCAGCAGCACAGCTCCAATTATCACTTGATTAGTTTCAAAACCTATAACCTTCCTATGAGGTGACGTGATGGAAAAGCAGGTAATAATCGCCACGTCTTGCCGTTGCGAAGTTGTCGTTGCCTTCAAGGAACAAAGCCCTGAAGTCCTTGAGCATCACTGAAAAGGTTGCCTTGTCATCATCCTCGCTCTCACCGACTATCTTGATGACTTGGTTGTAGAAAAGCTCTCGTTCTTACCTCTTCATGAAACTCTCATCTTCTGCATTGAAACTGTCCAGCTTGCGCCCTAAATACTTCTCCATTTCATCCCGGTTAGCCAAATAATACTTCATATTACAGGACAGCGTCACTGTCAGCAGTTTGAGAGCCTCTTCAAAAGGAATTTTTTCAATGGTCTCCACTGGCTCATTTGGATCAAATGATGGATCACCATGCCATTTAAGCGAGTAGAGATAATCTAATTTCTCCCTCAACTCAAAATAACTTGAGGGCATCAAATTCAGCCCGCAGGCATAGTCCCCATAACTTGAGGCTTTCAGCTTCGGGTTTACAATTTCCTTCCAGTTAAAGTTATCCTGGCTCTCGAAATATTTGACTACATCTAAATTAAATCCATCCTTGTTTACATAAACTTTGTTATTTTCATCTATTTCCATAACCATTGGTGCTTCATCAAAACAGTAAGTGCCATTTTCCAGCTTCTGCTGGACATCACTATGGAAGCTGGTCAGCTTCTGGGTGGCCAATGCACGCAGCGGCGTCCTGTAAATGAAAGAGATGGTCAATCTATAGTCAATACATAGTAAATATTTGTCATAAATAGAGGCAGAATTAAATAGGGAACTACAGTTAGATATTCATGCCAAATCATCATGTCTGGTAGTAATTTCCTAGTCTTCAGCCTTCCCAGCAGGACATGAATAACCAATTCTTACCTAAATTTTGCAAGAATTTAGGAATAAAGAATCAAAAATTCTTCTTGAACAAAACTAGGCCACTGGTTTAGTTTGCTTCAGAAATACTAGCGATGGAAGTCATCTAATCAGTTATTCTCACATGCCTTGACAGGTTTAACATATATAACATTTAATCATATTTCCTTAAAACTCACTTCATCAAAACATTTAAAAAATTATGTAATAAATGAACTAAGTGAACTTAATGATAATAATGCAGTGACAAAAAGAAAAATAAAGCCAGCAAAAAACATGCCCCAAACTAAGGCTACAGGCAACTATTTCCAAAATCTCTGGCATTCATAATCAGTCCAACATCTGCTGACTTGAAAGAAAGTTTAATCAGAGTAGCATTTTATTGTCCTTCAAGAATCTTTCACAAACTATAGTTTGGCCAATGATAATATTGTGCTACNCAGAAAACCCGAGAAAATATTATTCAGCTCCTGGTTTTGTTGCAACCGATCGCAATTTACACAAAATATTAGATAATATTAATAGCTACAACACATGAATCACGCAGACTAGATTAGTGTTTCGACTGGAGGGATCCTACAAATTCTCCTTTTAATTCCTGAATATTAGTTATTTTATTATTGTAATAAAAACCTTCAAGGCAAATTAAGTTTAGTCATCAACATACGTTTCATGATGTAGGCAGGAATCTAAATTATGATTATAATTACCTGGAGCATCGAGAACCAATATAGGTGCACAATAATTGTAAACGTACATAATTGCCCTGCATAGAAGAGGAAGCGTATACAAGGTGAATAAAAATTCAGAAAGATTAACTTTTAGGTAAACATATTATTGATATTTTGAAGCTACATGGAGTATAGCTTCTAATATTTAAATTAAGAATACAAACAAAATTGGGCTGACTTACAGAAAGTAGAGCTGCTGGACACATAATATTTGCTTCTGCTACTTGATTGGGACGCAGGAAGTTTGAGATCATCGGAAATTATTCAATAGAAATTGTTCCCCCAAAAATATTGAAAGCTTTAAAAATAGGTAAAAAAAATCCCAATAAAGTTTAATTGGTAACTCACCCCAGAATGACATTAAAGAACATAAAATAAGCTTTACATTACACATACAAGAGATACTACATGGTCATTGTTAAAAAATTCAAAGAGTCCTTTTTGAGACCATTATTTTAGCGCCAGCTCTCTCAGCAGCACAGCTCCAATCATCACTTGATTAGTTCCAGAACCTATACCCTTCCTATGAAGTGGCGTGATGGAAAAGCAGGTAATAATCGCCACGTCTTGCCGTTGCGAAGTTGTCATTGCCTTCAAGGAACAAAGCCCTGAAGTCCTTGAGCATCACTGAAAAGGTTGCCTTGTCGTCATCCTCGCTCTCACCAACTATCTTGATGACTTGGTTGTAGAAAAGCTCTCGTTCTAACCTCTTCATGAAACTCTCATCTTCTGCATTGAAACTATCCAGCTTGCGCCCTAAATCCTTCTCCATTTCATCCCGGTTAGCCAAATAATACTCCATATTGCAGGACAGCGTCACTGTCAGCAGTTCAAGAGCCTCTTCCAAAGGAATTTTTTCAATGGTCTCCACTGGCTCGTTTGGATCAAATGATGGATCATTTTGCCATAAAAGCGAGTAAAGGTAATCTAATTTCTCCCGCGACTCAAAATAACTCGAGGGCATCAATTCCAGCGCGCAGTAATAGTCCCCATAACTTGAGGCTTTCAGCTTCGGGTTTAAAACATCCTTCCAGTTCCAGTTTTCCTGACCCTCGAGATATTTGACCACATCTAAATTAAATCCATCCTTGTTCACATAAACTTTGCTATCAACATTTATTCCCATAACCATTGGTGCGTGACTAAGACGGTAAGTGCCATTTTCCAGCTTCTGCTGGACATCACTATGGAAGCTGGTCAGCTTCTGGGTGGCCAATGCACGCAGCGGCGTCCTGTAAATGAAAGAGATGGTCAATCTATAGTCAATACATAGTAAATATTTCTGTCAGCAGAATTAAATACGGAACTACAGTTAGATATTCATGCCAAATCATCAGTTAGATATTCATTCCCTAGTCCTAACCCTTTCCAGCTGGGTAAGAATATCCCATTTAAACCAAAATTTTGCAACAATTTAGGAATATATAAAGAATCTAAAATTTCTCTTGAACAAAAATAAACTACCTACTGGTTTAGTTTGCCATAGAAATACCTACTATAGCGAGTCATCTAATCAGTTATTCTCACATGCCTTGTCCGGTTTAATATATTTAATTACCATTTAACCATAACATTTAAAAATATTTGCTTAAAAAAATAATGTCATTCAAATATTTTGAAAATTTTGTTATAAATGAACTGAGTGAACTTGATAATATTAATAATTCAGTGACATTAAGAAGAATAAAGCTGGCAATAACAAACATGCCCAAAGCTAAGGCTACAGGCAACTATTTCAAAAATCTCTGGCATTCATAATCAGTCCAACATCTGCCGACTAGAAGGAAAGTTTAATCAGAGTAGCATTTTATTGTCCTTCAAGAATCTTTCACAAACTATAGTTTGGCCAATGATAATATTGTGCTACTCATTTTATGTGTCAGCCATTATCGTTTTGTTAAGAAAAATATTGGTATCTTGAGCCAAATATATTTACATAGACAGCACAATATGAGAGAACATGATTTTCTTGTCTTAAGATGTATATTAATCTTTATCAAACATGGATTTCTTTCACACATTATATTAAACTTTGACAACAAAACTTCCACAAAATAAGATCTAAGAATACTTATCTCACCCAATGACTCCAAGTAGCTTCTTGGACAAAGCTGCAAGCTCACTTTGCAGGGCTGGAAAATACATGACTGAACTGTCACAATATTTTCAATGCTCCCAGTATCTTGTTTCCCCAATTCTAATGGTCACTACTGGAAGGAATTCACAGAAAATTTATCAACAATTTCTTAACAAGTATAGGTACTTTCTTTTCCTTTAATTAAGTCCTTGAATAAATGGCAAAACTATAGTTAAAACATACTTTTGAAGAAAACATGCAAAATTTTAGGAGATAAAGTTCAAGACCTTGTGCAAGTTGCTGGCAATTTCCAGAGGTACAGAGAATTTATAGCTTTTGTGTGCAATGGCTTCCAAAGAAATTAAGAATTGAGTAGCAAAAGTCAAGGAACTTGACTTTTGATCAAGTATTGAGGAACTAGCAGGCAATTTTCAGTTTAAGCCAATATACATAGATAGGTATATTCATCACAGGTTATAGAATTCTGAAATACAATTGCAGGTAAATGATGTAATTTCTCACAAAAGCAGCAAGTATATAGTTGAAATTCATCATAATAACTTAGTTCCCAATTCCCATGAGAGTGACCTACTATAATTATAATAGTAACATACAATATACAGGCCTGAATGAGGGTTAGCATTGGACGAGGACAAGGTTACCAATTAGTAGGAACAGACCATGCCTATGTTAGCTAATAGCTAGGTGAGAAGGGTAATAAAAGGAGAATAATTAATTCAGCTAGGTTGTTCTGCTCTGGTAGGTAAGCTAGAGATTTAGGAGAAATGATGTGGTGGCAAGAGCCAAAAATTGTATTGGATAAGAAACGTGCAAGTATATCCTTATATAGGGTACTACCGTGCTATTGGAGTACGTATAGACGAGTCCCAGGGTGCAGAAAGTGGGTGAATATTGCAAGATCTTTGGCAATGCACCAGCAGCAAAATTTACACCTTCAGAAGATCTTGCAACACATTTGCATTGAAATTACTGCATTTTAGATATTCGCCAGTCTTCAGCCAACTATTTAGAAAATAGTTAAAATCTGAATGACCACAAGCGCATACAGTAAGGATTCTGGCATGTTTAAATTGAATCGATCAGGATGCAGTGAAGCTTGTCCGGAAATCAGTTGCAATGAGTGTAAGTGTTGCAGTGCGTGGCATATACTATCAGCAGCATTTTCTTATTAAAAATTACCTGGCGACGCATCTTGAAAATGGCTGGCAATGTTTTGGGCTAAAAATCCATATATTGGTGACACAGCTTGCTAACTCTGCACCCTGGAGCTGGGATCATGAATGGGATGAGTCTGATGAGATCATGTAAAATAAATGTGTACAAGCAAGTACAAGCGCATACAGTAAGGATTCTGGCATGTTTAAATTGAATCGATCAGGATGCAGTGAAGCTTGTCCGGAAATCAGTTGCAATGAGTGTAAGTGCTGCAGTGCGTGGCATATACTATCAGCAGCATTTTCTTATTAAAAATTACCTGGCGACGCATCTTGAAAATGGCTGGCAATGTTTTGGGCAAAAAATCCATATATTGGTGACACAGCTTGCTAACTCTGCACCCTGGAACTGGGATCATGAATGGGATGAGTCTGATGAGATCATGTAAAATAAATGTGTACAAGCAAGACCCTGTCCCTGTAAATTAATAAATTTCAACACTGAACACAAGACACAAGAAAGTCCTTCACTCCTTGGCACACAGCACGCTTAGCAGCAGGGTTGCCAGATGGCAGTTGGCCTTAAAAAGGCCATGTCCAGAAACAAAAAAAGGCCTTTAACTGGATATATACAATATACCTACTAGTATATATGTAGGTTTCAGTGAAAAACTCCCAGTATTTATTGTTTCAAGTTTTTACAATTTAATTAGGAAGTACCCCATCTTTTTTGCTGGGTGTCCACCCTGAGTTAGACTGTCAGAGTTTACATGAAGCCACAAGGTCAGCCTGATGGCACCAGGCCTAAGGCCTCTGCCTGAGGACTTGTTGCTGGTAAGCTTTTAGTCTCTTGAACGTCTTGGTACAGGAAGCAAGTCAACGATCTCTTAAGAGAGATCAGTTCTCGTGCAGCTCAGTACAAGATTTGAGGAATTTCAAATAAATGCTCACTTGAGGCAATGCATAAGAGTAAATGAATGCAGGTTTAGCCTCCCTAACTACTTCAAATAACTAAAATTCACTAAAAGACACACCTAGATGATAAATACGTCAACAATAAAAGTTTATAGAACATAAGTGGCAGCAGTTCTCAAACCGGTGCATGCTTGTATTTATTTAGCTGTGAGGAACAAAGGAAGTACCTTTATCATAAATTTTAGCCAGCAAACGCAATTCAAAAAAACTAAATCGCGGAATTTGCCGGAAAAAATATCGTCTGGCAACCTTGCTTAGTAGAAGCGCGTGGTAGCGCAGTCTTAGGCCACAAATTTCACTCTTAATTAAATAAACCATGGAGCCAACGTCCAGCGTCACCAAGCATTCACTCAGCAAGTCAGCATCAGAGCTAGAAACCGCATACTGCGCTTGAACTCCATAATACAGACACTTCGCCGAAAGATATTAGCGCCGTAGGTCTTTAGCCAATGCTTTATTAAGCATGCTCGCTCATAAGCAGGCAGTGCCTCATCCGGCTGTACCTACTCCGACCTAACCTGTTCTGGCCTAACCTACTCACGCTGTCCCGGCTCACAACTTTCTTACAGCCAATGACTGGCTCTACCAGCGCACCTGAACCGCCTTTCTAACTTCCTGTAGTCAATGAGGTTAGGTTAGGTCCACTCAGGCTTGTTTTGTGTTGAGAACTGTTGCAACTTGTGTAGGTTAGGCCTGAAGAGGTTTGGCCAGATGCAGCATGGCCATGCTTACCTTTAGCAAGCGTACCGCCGGATACCCACAGCCACATAATAGTGGCTGTGGACATCCGGCGCTATGGCTTTGAGCACTTGACTTCATAGGCTGCTATGCCCTCTAGAGCTCTTACCTGCGGAAATAAATATGAACCAAGTGTGAAGTTTGGCAAAGCTGGCCTCCGGCATGCGCCCCGTAGCGCGGCAGATGCAGAATAGGCTTGCTGGTGGCTGTGTCTTAAACGATGTTGCCAGAAGGCTTTAGTTGAAATTTGCGAAACGCGGTAGAACTATCGTGAATTACATACTAATAATTGTCAGCAAGACGAGGTGATCATTACCTCATTTTCCATCTACCAGGGCTTAAAGGGCTAGAGCACCGGCATGGCGCACTTACCGGCGAACGTTGCCGAACCCGATCATTCGAGTTTTGAACGAGACAAGGCGCGGTTAAACCGACTCTGTAGTCAGCACGAGTGCCTACGGAACGGGACCTTATTTAAAGAACAAAAATTACTAGATTGCTTAAGTCGCAAGTTTACCAGGAATTTAAAAGCAAAGAAAACAGCCAGAATATTTATCTATATATCTAATGTTATCTATATCTAATGTTATCTATCTATAATGTTATCTAATATTATCTATATATCTATTCATCTATATATCTCTATATATATAGAATATCTAATGGCCGTTTCCAGACCTCTGTGTTCAGAAAGCCAACGTTTACCGGTTTAAACACCAGCTTTTTTAGTTTTTGCTCATTTCGTTTTAAATTAAATGGGATTAAAACATTATTAAATCGTGGCTTCCGTATTTGTTCAACTTTCAATGCTATGCACACTGAATTTGAGTTTTTGCGCAGCATTTTTTCTTTAAATGGGTTTCCATCGCAACTGATTTATAGTCAAATTAAGAAATTCATGTCAAGGCAATATAATGAAGTTGTTCCCGATTGTGACAGTAGGAACCTGATTTATTGTTCTTTTCCCTACTTCGGTAAAGCATCTGAGACTATGGCTAGGGAATTGAAAGATTTGATCAATAAATATATTCCGAATGTAAATCTGCAGGTGCTATTGGTGAATAACTTCAAAATCGGTTCGTTCTTCAAGTATAAAGATGCTCTCCCTCTTTTTATGCGTTCGTCCCTAGTATATAGATACAGTTGTGCGCAGTGCGCATCAGCGTACGTCGGTATGACGTCTCGCAATTTTTACACTAGGCTGGCGGAGCATAANCAACGCTCGGCAGGACTTCACGGCTGGCAAGGATATCCCGAGCTTTATGTGAAGCTTGCACGACCTCGGAAAAAGATAAACTTCTTAATAGCTTCTTCATGAATCCATTATTAAATATGTTTGATGATTGTGTATTATAATTAAGGGGAGTATTAAATGCTGTATTATAAGATCCATGAATTAAATGAGAATCAAAGACTGGTTCTTCAAAGTTTTGACGAGCGTCAGAAGTATTTCTTGGGCCTGCAGGCTGCCTGGCGCACGCAGAGCTGCTGAGCCGCATGCATTGCTGCAGCACCTGCAATATAAAAATGTTTACATGTTTAATGGAGTACAGAATGAATGATATTAAATAAATAATGTATTGGTGCAGCACCTGCAATATCATAGATTAAAATCTTCAAATGAGTACAGAATAATATATATACTATTTACAGAATATATATACAATTAAATAAAAAAAAACTGACATTGAAAATGAAATTTTTACAAATTTTATTCCCTCCATAAATTGCCAGCAGTAGCAGAAATAAAAATATGATTTGTAAGTTCATGTAAAGATTTATTAAGTAAGATAACTAGAGAATTTCAAAGATAATAATAATTATTATTATCTTTGAAGATAATAATAATTTTAAGATATAAGTAAAGATAATAATTTTTCAAATGCACATCCTCTAATTTGCGGAATAACTTATAAATGATGTTAACTCAATTGAAGGTCAGGAGAAGGAAAATGTCTCCTAAAGCATTAAAAAAGTAAGTAGCAGTCTAAACTTTACCTTTTATTCTAAATAATTTTTAAGATAAATGCAAAATATAGGCAAGATTCTCAATTATGCTTTGTAATTTTCCAGATTACATCAATACATCATCAATGGCACTTTAGATTGGAATTTTCATAATTATTTTGTAGATCTTATGGTTGCCATGTGATAAATTTTCTATACATTTGAAATCCTGCAGCCCACTTGTGAACTTTTCTCAACAAATAGATAGAAGGTAATTCATCTAGGTGGAATCTTGGTGGAATCTTGCAGTTCATCTAGGTGGAATCTTGCAGTTCATCTAGGTGGAATCTTGCAGTTCTAGAAAAGGCAAGGAAGCTGTAGTTGCATCTTGTAAGATAGATATAGGTATTCCCTACCTGACTAAAAT